CAGTTTGTCTTCCCTAATCTACCCTATATATCTCAATTGAAATGCCACGTAGAAAAGTAAGGGGAGGCAAGCTTGAGAATGACAAACCAATTTCTTTTTTATCAAAACAATTTTCAACTTATTAGCATCAAATAATGAAGGGCGATAAAGAGAAATATGCTGAGTAACAAAATTAATAATCTGTTGATTGAAAATCAATTATTCAGGAAAATATTTCCTTATATCTTTTACAGATACAAAAATAAATTATGATCGTTTTATATATATATATATTTATATAAATATAAATATATATATATTTATCATTCTCTATGAAACTACTTTAAAGGAGACTCCATTCATGGGTCTCCTCAGATGAATATCTAGTAATATGAAGATTCCTAAAAGAAGCCGTTTGAATATTTTATTCGACATTTTCCTATTCTACCACTTTAAAGGCGATTCCATTCATGTGTCTCCCCTTAAATAAATATCTTATTCGATGCTCTGATTCCTAAAAGAAGCTGTTTGAGATGGTGTCCAGTAGAGTGTTGTTTATAAAGGTTCCGAGAGTTCGATATGACCTCAATTACGTCAGACTTCTCTAAGCTCACCCGTGTAAAGAACTAATGTGAAATTCAATCATCTCAAGTTCCACAAAGTAAAATAGTGCAAACATTCTTAGAAAACCAATTTAATGGCTTTAATTTTTCCACCTCTCGAGCTCTCAAACACGGGGAATAAGTGTGTTTGTTAGGCTTCGAATTTATTATGAGGACTGAATGAAGCCATGGTTAGAGAGACTCCATCTCACCTGTGGTTGAACACTGCATTGAGCATTAATCCTAGGCTTGAGATTTTATTTTTGGTTTCCGACTTCAGAAAAAAAAAAGGTTTTTAAAATAACTGTTAATTTTTAGCTTAATGTTTTAAAGAGTTCGAAATATTTGAGTAACCCATATGTTAATATTTTATTTGGCAATTTTTAATTTTCATATTTGATTATTTTACATGTGATTTTTTCGAAAGCCTTACTTATTCCAAAATTATAAACATGGGGCGCTTCCCTTGATGTGCTGTATGGAATAATGGCAGGTATTGGCTCGGGTATAAAATCTGAAATTGGCAATAAGCCCGTGGTATTTTATTTTCTATATATATGTTTATTATCTTACTGAACTTAAATCCGACCAGGCGATTATTGCTTTGATCCAATATCATGGCTTAATGGCATTGCTATGATGTACATTGTATTTTTCTAGACATTTTTATGCAACGCTCTACCAAATTCAGACATTTTAAATAAATTTCACACAAACTGGCGAGATTATATCTATCTATATAGGAAATAAAAGAACTTTTGAGTCGAACCAAGAACACCGAACTTTTCTATAAACGCGCGCGACTTCGCGAAACAATAGAAAAAAAAACAGAACAGATATTTTTGAAATATAATTATCCATTTAAAACACGGGGTCAGTGGTGTTTATGAGAAAACTTAAAATTTCGGCTCAAAACGTACATTTAAACCTTTCTAAACTCTTTCTTCGTATCATTCATTTGTCAAAATTAATATTTTTATATTTATTCCTAATAATATCCATATTTTTTGTTTTAACACAAAACACAAATTAGTATTGAATGGTCTATCAAACTCAATCTATTTCAAACGATATATAAATAATCATATTAGAAGTATATTCGATGAGAAAAATATTTTAAAATTGAAGAACTAAAAATGTTTTATAGAGAGTATATATAAGAAAAGAAAAGTGGAAATATATAAATATACGCATAGATTGGCCCCTCTAAACTATTTACACCATTGAGAATTAGAGTAGTGGAAGAAATTTGGACAGGACTAAAACAAAGAATGCAAGACATTTAACTGAAAGAGGGGAAAAAAGGAGAACACAAAATAAGTTCAACGACGTTATCAAAGATCCATTTAGGTGGGGAAGGAAGGAAAAAGAAGAATATTTTGTTGCATTCGACGGAATAACTTGATGATGCAAATGGGGATCAGGATTTGATATGATAAAGAAGGGAAATTCCCTGAAATTGGGTTGTTAAAATGGGAAACTATTCTATGATTGGTTTTCTTATTGTGTTGTGTCTGATGGAGCCGCATCCTTGTTCCTTGCAAATATAGAGAAAATTCTTTCTATAATTGATTGCGTTTTAACCAATTTTTTGTTCCCTTATAAAAACAATTACTTTAACTACAATCGTTTTGAAAATAGATGCTATTGTAGCGTAGAATATGCTATGTGTTGCTCTTTCTTCAATGGAAAAATTTATTATGAAGGCCTGGCTCATCATTGGTGAAACCTCTCAGCGGTTTCGCCATTTTAATCAATAAACCCAATAAAATGTTGCATGCATGTAATATGTATTATTGTATTAGGCTGATTTGCTTATATTCTTTTCTGGCAGAGGTATGAACGAAACTAAGAACATAGTTTTATGTCTATGTTTCCATTTCTGTAAGTATCGTTGGAAGCGCTTTATTTGTAAAAGAAAGCCCATCGAGCTATAAATGGTTTTATTGATTGGATATAGATGGCGTATTAATATATATTTTATGCTGGAAATGATTTAACAAAGTGGTCGTCACTGTGGCGGATTGTTCTCTAAGTACCTCATGGGAAGTTTGGTGATATTTACCTAACTTCACCCGGTGAGTAGATAGGAAGGTCATGGTCATTTCATAATGAAAGGGCACCTCCTATCGTGTGACAAATGTTGCTGATGGTTCAAGACAATCAATTGGCAAATATCAACTATTTGTTTGTTTTATTAATTTCCTGTTATTCAATTGAACAATCAGGAAATGCCCTTTCGTTATATTATCTACTTTTAAAGATTTTTAAGCACACTTTTAAGAACCTTCAGACTGCATTTTTCTGTAATTAAAATATTCGGTGGTCCTTGGTGGGTCTACAACGTGCAATTTTCACAACGCTGATAATGGCCAACATCTTTGTATGTATTATTTTTCTTGAAAATAATACTGAGAAAATCTAAGAAAAATGGAAAATATTAGCAGATAATTGGCATTTTTCTCGAAGATGGTATTGAGCCACCAGCAGCATTAAGCGAAACGATCTGGAAGTACGCTTTATAATAGAGTACACTCATAGACAAAATTTGAGGAAGTAGAAAGTCTTTGATGTCGCTGGTTCTCTGTTTTTTTTTTTTTTTTTGGAATGCGACAGAGACAATTTCGCTCACACTTGGCTATCTCGTGTGCCTTCGATAAAGGTCAGTGTGTATCACATATCTTTTAGAGTTATTTTAAGAATCCCGATATGTGGCAGAAGTTACAACTTCCTTAAGTTTGGTCCGTGAGTGTATATTCACATTACATCATATTATGGTATACACCTATAAATCTGCCGTTTGTAGTTCACACACTTCACAATCTTCTCTTGTACATTTCCTACCGTCCCTATTAGCTGAGCTTGAACGGCCATTTTAGATTTGATTGTTAATTACGATTGATTATCTTGTAGTTTTGATTGACACTTTCATTGCCATCTTCATATATTTGATACGGCGATTTAAATAAAATAACATATTTAAGTGTTATGAAGCACTGCGGCGTATGATTATAAAACAACACTTGAAGTTTCACCGCATAAGTTTCTTTTCTGTGAAAAATCAATATTTATTTCAAAGAGAAATATTTACTATTTCTAACTTTTTTTTTTTGGATGAAGTATGAAAGGGTGAAATATGAAGAGTAATGGCGAACGGAAAAATAAAAGTGTCCAGGGTCGGGAATCGAACCCACAACGTTCCGCTTACCGGGCAGATGCCATGTCCACTAGGCTACCCTGGACGTATTTTTCCGTTCATAAATAATACTTAAAGTAACTTATAATACATTATAAAGGACTGCGGCGTATGATTATAAAACAACACTTAAAGTTTCACCGCATAAGTTTCTTTTCTGTGAAAAATCAATATTTAGTTCAAAGAGTAATATTTACTATTTCTAACTTTTTTTTTTGAATGAAGTATGAAAGGGTGAAATATGAAGAGTAATGGCGAACGGAAAAATAAAAGTGTCCAGGGGCGGGAATCGAACCCACAACGTTCCGCTTACCGGGCAGATGCCATGTCCACTAGGCTGCCCTGGACGTATTTTTCCGTTCGTAAATAATACTTAAAGTAACTTATAATACATTATAAAGGACTGCGACGTATGATTATAAAACAACACTTGAAGTTTCACCGCATAAGTTTCTTTTCTGTGAAAAATCAATATTTAGTTCAAAGAGAAATATTTACTATTTCTAACTTTTTTTTTTGCTTATATTCTTTTCTGGCAGAGGTATGAACGAAACTAAGAACATAGTTTTATGTCTATGTTTCCATTGCTGTAAGTATCATTGGAAGCGCTTTATTTGTAAAAGAAAACCCATCGAGCTATAAATGGTTTTATTGTTTGGATATAGATGGGGGGGGCGTATTAATATCTATTTTATGCTTGAAATGTTTTAACAAAGTGGTCGTCACTGTGGCGGATTGTTCATGGCATAAAAAAAGTTAGAAATAGTAAATATTTCTCTTTGAAATAAATATTGATTTTTTCACAGAAAAGAATCTTATGCGGTGAAACTTTAAGTGTTGTCTTATAATCATACGCCGCAGCCCTTTATAATGTATTATAAGTTACTTTAAGTATTATTTACGAACGAAAAAATACGTCCAGGGTAGCCTAGTGGACATGGCATCTGCCCGGTAAGCGGAACGTTGTGGTTTCGATTCCCGCCCCTGGACACTTTTATTTTTCCGTTCGCCATTACTCTTCATATTTCACCCTTTCATACTTCATTCAAAAAAAAAAAAAAAAGTTAGAAATAGTAAATATTTCTCTTTGAAATAAATATTGATTTTTCACAGAAAAGAAACTTATGCGGTGAAACTTTAAGTGTTGTTTTATAATCATACGCCGCAGTCCTTTATAATGTATTATAAGTTACTTTAAGTATTATTTACGAACGAAAAAATACGTCCAGGGTAGCCTAGTGGACATGGCATCTGCACGGTAAGCGGAACGTTGTGGGTTCTATTCCGCCCCTGGACACTTTTATTTTTCCGTTCGCCATTACTCTTCATATTTCACCCTTTCATACTTCATCCAAAATAAAAGTTAGAAATAGTAAATATTTCTCTTTGAAATAAATATTGATTTTTCACAGAAAAGAAACTTATGCGGTGAAACTTTAAGTGTTGTTTTATAATCATACGCCGCAGCCCTTTATAATGTATTATAAGTTACTTTAAGTATTATTTACGAACGAAAAAATACGTCCAGGGTAGCCTAGTGGACATGGCATCTGCTCGGTAAGCGGAACGTTGTGGGTTCGATTCCCGCCCCTGGACACTTTTATTTTTCCGTTCGCCATTACTCTTCATATTTCACCCTTTCATACTTCATTCAAAAAAAAAGTTAGAAATAGTAAATATTTCTCTTTGAACTAAATATTGATTTTTCACAGAAAATAAACTTATGCGGTGAAACGTTAAGTGTTGTTTTATAATCATACGCCGCAGTCCTTCATAATTTTTTATAAGTTACTTTAAGTATTATTTACGAACGGAAAAATACGTCCAGGGTAGCCTAGTGGACATGGCATCTGCCCGGTAAGCGGAACGTTGTGGGTTCGATTCCCGCCCCTGGACACTTTTATTTTTCCGTTCGCCATTACTCTTCATATTTCACCCTTTCATACTTCATTCAAAAAAAAAAAGTTAGAAATAGTAAATATTTCTCTTTGAAATAAATATTGATTTTTCACAGAAAAGAAACTTATGCGGTGAAACTTTAAGTGTTGTTTTATATTTATGTGTATGTGAATGATTAAAAGCAGAGATTCTGCATTTAATGTCTTGTAAGTACCATATATATTTTTTGTTTTACATGTTGATATTTTTCCAATGATAGAGAACTATCTCTCTCTCGATATATTTCATTTCACATACACATAAATATGTATTTTCTTTGAGTAATAATTAAGTTAAATTAGAATTTTAAGGATTATGAATTTCAAGCATATGAATCTTATTAAAAATTAATTCCTTTTATGATTAATGATTATTATATGTCTGCCCAAATATTTTAAATTGTATAATGATTATGGATATTTCGAATTAGGGACTGATTTTGTAATAAACGTAAACATTTTAGCTTCATTCAAATGCAAACACACGTGTCGTTATTTGGACAAAACAATTTATTTATGAAAATAAAGATGTCTGGCCGATGAAAGAATACGTACACAAAAGAAACTCATGTAGATACATTTTCAGCGTCATTCGACATCGTCATACTGGCCTATCACCTGGAATGATGGTATGAGGTGTCATTGGATATCGGTCTCGGTCTTCCCTTGTTCGCTTTCCCTGAACTTTGAACAGTTCCTTTTACATCTCCGATGTGTTAAGGCCCTTGACAGTACCATTTATTCGAGGCCTGGGAAACGCTACGTTTCAGCAGGATAATACACGACCTCAGAAATGTTTGTCTGCTGCCCTGGTCAGCACGTTATCTTGTCACCGGTATGAAGCGTCTGGTCAATGGCTGATAATCGACTAACTTGTCACCACACGCCAGTCAATATTGTCCATGAACTGCGGCATCGTGATAATGCTGCATAGAATGCTCTACCTGTCATCCAATCTTTTTTTACTCAATTCTCAGGCGTAATGTGCTGTTATTGTTGTAAACAAGGTTCTTGTGGGTTTTCTCAGGATTGATTACTTCTAATTTCTTTGAGGTTTTATCACTTTTTATCCTCAATATCATATTCATCCAATAAATATCATTTTGTAATTTGCAGTTCTTTCTGATTTAGCAATTTTAATGGCAAGTTATGCCTTTGACGTATTATATATATCGTCGTTTATGCCAAATTTTAAAATATTGATAAGAGTATCCTTTAATTAGATGAAAAAGCGCGCCACACCTGTTTTTCAAAATTATAAACTCTAAGCGTGTATGCTTCTTTCTTAAAATACCAAATTGCCTACCTCCTGTAATGAAATGGATAATATAATCATTTATATTCAAAGGTAGATTAAACTGTGTGTGTGTGGCGAAACCACTTAGTGGATTTGCCACAGATGAGCCAGGCCCTTTCAATATTTTACCGTTGCAGTAAGGGCAATAGGAATTTTTTATTTGTAGTAAGAAGCTTATACGTGCTTATATTGTTATAATTCTGGGGGTGATTTACGTTAGAGAAACTCTATATACACTCTAATTGGTTCATATATAGAGAGAATATATTTAAGGGAATTCTTCTTTAATTTCGAATATAAACTTTGCTATAAAAAATAAACAATGTATACATTTCAATTAGTTGAGGTATATATGAATTCTTCCTGAAAAAAGAGTAAAAATTCTAATTAAGACCATCGTCTGCCTAAATCGACGGAAGAAACAATTAGCGCCAAGAATCCTCTCACAATAAAGAAATTCCCCGAGAATACAAAAATAAGGTGAGAGTTTTTAATTTGTCATCAAGTAGTTTACTGAGCAACAAAGTTTCTTCTGCTGAAATATATCTTTAAATGGATAAATGCTAATTTTGCTAGAGCTATATCTTGCGAATATATTAAATTTATCTTTGAAAATATTTGTGATATAAAATTTTGAATAAAATATTCTCTAGATGAAAAGGGAAATTTATTTTTTATAACAAGAGTAAAAAAATAACTATGTATTCCCCTATACCTTTATTTTGCTTATATATACTATTAAAAATAAATTAGACATATCCTGAACACTAACATGAGCGTTTTTTAGATGGCAGAGAGTGCCATCTTATGGAACAGAAATCAACTAAAAATTGGTCTAACCTGTTCCTTGATATTTGACCAACCATTTTCTTGATAAATCAAGAAAAGCCAACCTGGAACGCGTTTCGGGCTGTTGGCCCTCATCAGCGTGGTGCAGGATATACCTCTGCAACCAAAATTCCTTTGGCCCCAGAGGTTTCCTGAAAATCAAGAGATGAGTATTTAAGGCCAAACTTGCCTTAATATTAACACCTGACCTTTTAAATTATTTTTCCGCATATTTACTAATATGTATCACATTGTTTAAAACATGCGCATAAATCGCATGTAGAGAAGCAAAATTTTATTTTAAATAATAAAAAACAAGTACAATAGAATATATGATGCACTATTTGAAGATTATAGGAAAAATGATTCACAGGACTGCTAAACCATTTTATTGCAGATTAACGAATTAACATGATTTTACTATTAAATTTATGTGAGTAAACTATTATTCTAAAATAAATATATTCTAGTTAATTTCTTTGTGGAATCTGCAATTAAGAAACACAAACAAATTGCTTTATTAAGAACGATAGTCTTATACGCATGACTTCGTAACGGAGTCTGTCATGGGAAAAAGAAAACTTTATATCAATATATATGAAATAATAAAAAAATAAATATAAAAATATATAATAATATTTCGTAAAATGTGTGTGTGGTATTAAAAAGTAATATGATAATCTGTGTTGTTGATTACTCTGTAACTTGTAAACAGAAAGTTTTAGGTAGCTTTTTGTTAGTAGATGTAAATATATACCAACCTCTTTAAAATTGTCTGTTTTTAAATATATTGCGAAATTATATGAATTAAAAGGCTCCAGTTATTATTTTTCGAACATCTACTACACCTACCTGATTTTCTCTCTTGTTAATTCACACCCACTCACATAAGGTTTTATTAAAAACGTTTCGTATTATGCACACGATTATCCTGGAACATTCGAAGAACAGGATAGCAAGAAGTTAACATTTACAAATATAATACAATATTAAAATTACAAATATATTCTCACAATGAGTATCTTTTTTATTTAAAAAACGCTAGCTTTCAAGCGTTAATCGCTCTTCAACGGGCTTACAATAATATCGACTTGATCCCTTCAGAAATATTTACAAAAAAAAAAAAAACGCGCGCCGCGTGGATATTCATAAAAATAAAAAAGATACTCATTGTGAGAATATATTTGTAATTTTAATACTTTTTCACAATTTTATCATGAATAATACAATATATTGCGGCTTTTGATTTTATAACAACATTTGAAAATTATCCCGCATGCAGTTTCTTTTGAACGAAAAATCGAAGTTTATTTTAAGGAGAAATAACAATTATTTCCAACCTTAGGGATGAAGTATGAAAAGTGAAGAGTAATGATGATATCAATAATAATATCACAAATAATTAATTAATTAACTTTATTAACATCATGAAACGCGATATCCCAAACTCAGGGATATTTGCGCCAATACATTTCACTGCATTACAGCAATTCGGCTATATACAATCCTGTTCAATTCATTATTTTACATAAATTAACTAAAGAAAATTGTCCAAAGAGAAAAACAAACAACAAAGCAAAACACACAGAGCAAGCATCGCAGTTCTTTTTTTTTTTTTTTCTAAGATTCCTTCTTTTTTTTCCAATTCAAGAGAAAGTTGTATATGTATTTACAAAATTGATCAAAATTTTTATACTTTTCTTTTTTGTCTACAAATTCATCAAGCTGTCCAATACGACCAAATCTATTTTCCCTAAAATCCCGGAAAATTGGGCACTCCAGAAGTAGATGTCTCGCGTCTTGAATTTCACCTCCGCAGAAGCATCCTGGTTCCTTCACGGCGCCGATAGTTGCCAAAAATTTCCCAAAATTGCCATGATCTGTAATGAATTGGATATTATAAAAATTTGGACGGAAAAATCTTGGAATTCCTAATACGAAAAAGCTTCTGAAAATTTCATTAGTGTTCTCAAAAATTTCATTCATTTTTGCGTGTAAGAATGATTTGACTATACTTGGAGCATGGGGTTCGTAAGTAATTAGATCTTCAATGGACATTTGAGCTAGATCAAATTTGATTATTCTGGATTCTATATAATCTGTTAGGAGTGGAATTTTTGCCAAGCTATGCACACAGTTTGATGAAGTGGTTTTGTATGCTCTAACTGCCCATAAAATGATCTGGTACTGCATGGAGTTCAGTTTTTGTTTACAACGATTGTTTAAATATTTGAA